ATAATACTATTTGCTATAAAAATTTTAAAGCTATATCTTTTCAATTTAAAAAGTTAGAGGAGGTGGGATACTTATGATTTTGACTGTATATAACACCTTATATGTCTCAGTTGTAAATCTATTTACAATTCCGAATTGACAAATTGATGGTATTAAATGAAATCACCAGCTATGTAATTTTGGTAGGTTTAGATTTGATGGAGAAAACTTAGACATTAACTTAATAAATAAGTTACTCTATGTGACAATTGAGTTCTGTAAAAAAAAAATAAATAAATAAATAAAATTAAAATAATAATAAAATTAAAATAATAATAAAATTAAAATAATAATAATGTATTATTTATTTTAGTAAGAACTTACTTCAAATTTGACAAGATCAGATTTGGTAAATTTAGGATGACAACTCCACATATATATATTGATCTAGAAATAATAAAGATTACATAAATTTTTATTGGGCTTTTTGTCAATAATTGACTTATCTAAGATAAATAACATTATTTTCATTAGGTCTTTGTATTCTGCTGCCATCAACTAATTAAATCTTTCAAATCCATTTTTAAAAACTTTGAGTTTTGGATATCGAGGAATTTTAACAAGATGTTCTTCAAGAATTTTAGTTATACCATTGCCATATTTTAATTTTAATAACTCAACTGTGAATCATAATTAATATTGAAATAGCCCAAAATTTGCATAGTGCATATGATCAGACATGCACATGGTATAAACATTAAAGTAACTATTAAAAGTATTTGTTATTAATTAATATATATAAAAAAAAGACTAAATTAATCAAAAAAAAAAAGTTTAGCAAAAAATTGATTTTTAAATTATAAAATCTATATTAAATCATAATATTTTAAAATCTACATTGAATAACAATAAAAATATAAACTTTAAGAAAATATACTATAAAATTTTATTAATAAAATAACATTTATTTCTTAATTTTAAATTAGTTATATTTAAAAAAAAACTATATTTTTTTTTTAAAAATTATTGATTTAGTTTTTCCAGCATCTAGCCCATATGCTATTTTAATTTTGACATATTATTTTACTTTAGATCTTTAGAATTACTTACAGTCGCATCTATAAAGCATTTCTTATATAGTGTACTGAAATCTGTTTGCTGATGCTCTGATACAAAGACTCTTTTGTTGTGTTTTCATTATGGATAATTATATTTTCTTTTTTGAGATGAACATTATTTATCATATCATGATTAACTAGACAGGAATAGCATGGATGTAAAGAGTTTGAGAATTTATAAGTAGCACATATTGCACATGCTTCAGGCCAATCTAAGATTATAACTGCCAAATACAGAAAGAACTATTTGAGACTACTATTGACATATAAATAAACACTATTATAACTTAAACACCTTAATGATCTGAGTATTGCAAAAAGTGCATGGTGAAATAATCTGCATACTGCTAGTCTGAATGAGGCTGATTTTTTTTTAGACTCACTATAATAATTAAGACTTGGAATATAACTAAGTAAAATTTTGGCATCAACCTTGTTATGATGAGTTAAGAGAATATTTCCAAGTGTCATAAATACAGAATGCCTTGATGCCTTGCCTAAATGATCACAAAGAGTAGTATCTGAATAGAGAATAATTGGCATAACATGTGCCCTCAATGGAATATTTTGTTCAATGTTCCTCCACTAATCAGAATCACATATATCTGAATACTAATGCTGACCTAATACCTTTAATTGTTAAGATAAAAAAAAATATTATTAAATAATAATAATAATAATAATAATAAAATAAATTTCAAATAATTAAATTAGAACAGAGTAAAACCAATGTTGTGAATTAGTAAAATTTACTACATAGATCACATTAGGGTAAAATCTGTGTTTTTATTACAAAAAGCAGATTTCACCCTTATGTGGTCTATATAGCAGATTTTACGAATCCACACCACAGGTTTTATTCTGTTATATTAAATTTATTCATATTATCAAATGATAACTTATATTTAAATATGAATTCTTTAGTGATATTCTTGTTGATTAAGAGTTGGTGTATCCCATCAAGCACTATTCTAAACTCAAGCATATATTCCAGCCCTTCATACTTGAAAATAGTTTCTTTTCTCTAACAAAGATTAGAAGATTAAGATCCTTGATAAATGCCCACTCACTTTGTGATGTTGATAGTAATAGATGATCATCATGATTTGAATACTTGTTAAAAAATTATATAAAAGCATTTGCAAGTAGATCTTGTACATGGAATCATGTTATTAGATGCATAAATTCTGCATATTCTTCTGATGAAAATTCTTGATATATATCTTCAGGACCTTTTGATTTTCCAGAATACAAATCATCATATTTAGTATATTCATTAAAGTCAACATCTGTAATGTCTAATAAATCTAATTGTATATCAGATATATTGCTTTGAGAATCACTATGATTATTACTTTGAGAATCACTTTGATCAAAAAGTTCAATGACCTGTTCTTCAATAGATCTATCTGATGTATTGCTTTAAAAATCATTATAATCAAAAAATTCAATGTCCTGTAATTCATAATTTCGAATGTCAGTTATGCAATTGAAAGATAAGATGTTAGGATTTTGGTTTTCAATAAAGCTGTTTACATTAGAATTAATCTCTTTTAAACTATTATCTAAGTTATATTTAAAACAATGTTGCTTATAATTTATATCTTTTTTTACAGATAAATTTTGCCTTTCAAGCTTGTTTTGATCAATAAGAATTCTGTTTGTTATTTCAACCAAATTGGTATGAATCACTTTATTTAGGAAAGATAAATCTTCATCACTATTATCCAAATGTTTTTTTACATGATTACCTAATGCTTGCTGATTTATAAAAACTTTCTTAAAATATAAACATTTAGGCATCTTGAATAATTTACTACTGAAATATAATTATTGAGATTTACTATTTATATAATATATTATTGCGTAAGTTATAAACTACTTCAAATGTAATACTGGAACTTAATATTACACAATGTAAGATTTTTTTTCTTTTTCTACTTTATACTGAAATCACCTTTTAACAAACACTATTTTTGAATTACTTGCGATTTGCAAAATATGTATTTTATTATTTTCACCTGAGATAGAACTTAACTATAACAAGTAATAATCATTTAATTTGCCCAATTTAATTAATTATAGTGTGAATATTAAAATAAACTCTATATGCATAAACTTGTCTAAATGATTATGTAATTGCATAATTTATTACTAATTAATATAGAATTAGTGGTCACATAACAAAATTACTTATGTGATGATCGATCTGAATCAGGATCGAAAGTCATATACTCTAGAGATAGGCAAGTTTAGTAACATAATATTACTTATTATTTCTGATTATTTCTTATAATTTTCTTGCGTAATAAGTAAAATAAATAATTATTACTTACATTATTATCTTGCCCATCTCTAGTATACTTAAGGAAAAATTTATAATCAAATAATTACGCAGAGATTAGTATTGTATGAAAGTATATCGAAGTATAATAGTTAATTTGCATAAATGATAAGTAATTGATTAATTTAAAAGTCAAAATGGTATATTGAATTGTAATGTAATTGGTAATAGTCAAAATTTGTAAGCAAAGTGAAAATAAAACCAAATACAACTCTTAGTTTCGAAATAAGGATCTTCTAATAAAGTAAATACTGTATAATGTCAAGAGCATTTTAGTAAGACAGTAGTAATTAGTAATATGAGTGAAATTTAGTATTATAAAGCTTATTAAAATGAGTTTTGATTCATTTGTAACTTGTACTGCAAATACTTATCTTTGTTGCAAAGATGAGTTATATTAGAAAAAAAGCTGTACCTATATGCAGAAGTGTACAACATACTTTACCTTCTATTAAACTTGCTAAAAAACAAATAAATACTCCAAGTATTTCAAGTTCTTCAAGCATTCTTAGCACTTCAAGCATCTCTAATTCAACTCAAATGAGATCAAATACATTAACTGCCAAACCTGTATTTATAGAAAGCCGCTTAGATAGATCTGATGATAATAATAGTAATTTACATGATCTAGACATTTTAAGTTATAATAAAAATTCTATAAGTCCTATTGACAATGATATTTTAAAAAATGAGTTGACTCATTCAAATTTTAAGCAAAAAAATAAAGAAACAATAAATAAAAAATTTATAGAAAAAAATCTGTAAGTTTATTTACTATTTGTTTTTTCTAATAATAATGATCAATTTATATCATTGTATATACATTTCTATTTTTTAAAGTTGGCATCAACCATTACAAGTATGCATGATATGCAGCTTCAAATGTTTACTATTATTCAAGAAATGCAAACAAAAA